ATGCAAAAGTATTTTTTGGAGAAAATCTAGAAATAAATTAAAAGACATGAAAATTTGATTAAAGAGGTATACTCTACAACTTAATCATTGACTTAGTATTGGTTAAGATTCCTCCAACATCTTGCGATAGGGCCTTTGGAACTATTTTTCTTCTCCTAGGTACCAAGTCCATCACTGACTCAGCCTCATAAATCGCTGTGCACAGGGCTACAGCCATACTGTCTGCAAGCCCAGGGCACCGTTTGTATGGTTATGTGAGTGACTCCTCTCCCTGCAGTGGAGAGCAGCTTAAACTACCAGACACTGCTTTCCTGTGACCTGTAGCTTTCCTCGATGCTTATTACCATAGGAAATTGGATATCTGAGAAGTCTTGTACTTGCCCTCTGTTTTCCACCACATTGTAAACTCCTTTTTCTGGTACCGGGGATCGAACTCTGGTCCTTGCGCTTGAGAGACAGGTGGCGACACCGCTGAGCTAAATCCTCGGCTCTAAACTCCTCAAAGGCAGGAACCTTGTCTGCAAACACCCGCATCTGCCATATTCAAGGTGTGTATAGTGTGTCCCCAAATATTTTTTTAATAAATGATTGATATCCGACTGGTCATGTTGACTTCTGTCTTCATTTTGAAAAGCCCTAGCTTTCAACATCAACTTGGTATTTTATGTAAACTTTGGGAAGTTTATTCCCTCGCTGTAACATGTACGAGTTAAATTTCACTAATTTATTAATTATTTGGGAGCAGTTGCTATCTTCACGATACTGTGTCTTTCAGTATATGGAGTAATATTCCATAGCTTTATTTGTACAGCTTCTATTTCCCATAAGGATTATTCCCACTTACTTTATATAATTGTTTGCAAGGAGGTACAAGGGTCTTAGAAGAGAGGAATCTTCTACTTTCTTACATTTTTTTTTTCAGCACTGTGGATTGAACTTACGGCCTTCACACTGACCCGTCTGCACATCCCTTTTTTCTTCTTTTATCTTTGAGACAAGGTCTTGCTAAGTTACCCAGGCTGGGCTTGAATTTACAATCCTCTTGCCTCAGTCTCCCAGAGTGCTGGCATAGCAGGGATACACTACCAAGCCCAGCTTCTATTCTATTTTATAAGGGGATATTTATGTAATATAGGGAATTACTGATATTTTACATCATTTTCAGCAGAAAATAAATGTATCTAAATTATGTTGTAATCACATAGGAGTAGTCTTCTAATTTCTAAGTAGGCAATCATATAATCTAAAAAGACATTTTTACCCCTTTTATTATGAGAGCTATCCTTCTCTTTTTATTTAGATTTGCACAATACTTTTAAATAGTATAATCATGATGTTTCTAAACCTAAATTGAATTTTGTTTCTCACCATTCAGCATGTTGCACATACTAGTATAGTATAGTTTTTTTGTTATGCTATAAAGGAATTTTTATTTTCTTTTAAGGAGCCCTTTTTCCTCAAATATTTTTATTGGGACACAATATTTGTAAGAATAATTCAGTATCCCCACGAAGTAAAACACTTCCACCTGCTCAAACATCAATCCTCCCCATGAGTTGGGAATTCTCCTAGTCTTCGAGTTTTTTTCTTTTTTTGTTTTTGTTTCTTTCAGTTCAGGGACCGAACTCAGGGCCTTGTTCTTGTGAGGCAGGTGCGGTGCCACTGAGCTAAGTTCCCAGCCCTCTTCAAATTATTTTAAAAAATAGTTCATGGGTTACATAGCCCGTAGTTCCACCACTGTGCTATGGAACTAACATCCCCTCTAACTGCATTGTCCCTTTCTAGCTGCCCTCTGTCCTCTCCCCACTCTCCCTTCCCAATCTCCAGTTACCAGAACTCCACCCCATTCTCCTATGAGGTCCATGATGTTTTCATTTTTGAAAAGGAGCTAGAAGGTGAAACTTGTCTGTGTCTGGTTTATATCACCTTAACTCCAGTTTTATCCACCCATATTGCTGCATATGGCAGGATTTCCTTCTTTTCATAGCTGAAAAGCCATACACGCAGGTAAGTTCATATACACACTGACTCACATCACAGTTATCACATCCCTATTCGTCCCTTCATTGGTGGACCCCTTGCCTCTTGCACGTCTTGGCTTTTATAAATATTGCCAGGATAAACACAGGGGTGCCACTAGATCTTTGATACGATCTCACTTCACTGTCCTGGGCACCTTCCCTGCCTTCGATGGTGAGCTGTGGCCAGAGCACTGCACAAAATACATGAAGTGTTGGCTTCTCATGGCTCATACAACAAATAGCTTGGCTTACTGAAGCTTTTCCACAGACTGATCTCTTCATTATTACTTTCTCCAATTCTGTAATGTAGGAAGGAGCTGTTTTATAGGTGCTCATTTTGTAAATAAGACAACTGGAAAGAAAACAGTATGCAAGTCCCACAAATAAGGAAATTTTGAGCTCATTATTTGCTTGGCCATACAGATTTATCTTCGGTTTACTTCATTCTTTATGGGCCACAGCACAATTAAAGACTAATTTTTCCACAAAAAGTAACTAATTTTGCCATCGTACTTTGTGCTTCTATGGGTCAAGAAATTTATTCAGAAAATTGTTTGAAGAGCTAAAGCAGCCGTGACTCTTCTATTTTAGAGAACTGACTCTGGTTTTGAGAGAACTGAATCTCTGTTAAGGGTCTGAATTGAGTGCATGTAGTTGTGTACTTTGAAAGGAAAAAAACAAAACAAAACAAAACACATAAGAGCCACTTTAAAAGCCAGCAACGTACCCTGTCCCTTGCAGTTGAAACAAAGTCACAAGAGTCTCTGCCACCTCCATTTCCCATCAGTGGAGTCAGACACAGACTCAGCCCTGTCTCCCACCCCGCCCCTCAGGACTTGGCGATGTTCTCCTCACTCCTGGGTATCTGTCGTCTCAGCAGCCACCACAAAGTCATTCTTCACTTGCACAAAATGGATTTCTGTTTGTGGAGCAGCTGGTGGGAGCATTCTAAGGCCAGGTGCTCCCTGAGAAGCCAGCCTGCTTCTCTCAGCTGTCAGGGGCTTTTAGAAATCACACCCTCCTCTGAGGAAGTCAGAATAGCAACAGGAAAATAAGTAAAACCTATTATAAAACAGTTGTCCAAGAACTTGGGCACGGCGCAGGGTAGAGATCGATATGCTGTGAAGGTTAAATCTATTTTCACACTGTGTTCTATTTCACAGTTTAATGGTGTTTTAATGTGTCTGTCACTGAGCCCCTTCATGTTATGCAGGTAGAGCCTTTATAAAGGAGAAAGAACCCGGCTTTTCAAGCTTCGCTGTAACATCTTATTTACCAGCTGCGATCTGACACTTTCTTTTCCCTTCCAGAGCGACAGCAGGTCTGCCTCTTCCCTCAACCCCTCTGGCTCTCTTTTTCTCTTCTCTTTCTTACTTCTAATTTTGCAGGAGGCAACGTTAGGACCCTCTGAGTGACTCTTAGATATCTTTCTGAAAAGCTCTCCAGGATAGATACCTGTATCAAAAAGGAAAGTGACTAAAACACGGCCGACCCCTTTACCCTGTGCCCTTCACTGGCTTCGTTCAATCTGTGGCTCCCTCCAGCTGCTCCTATTCAATATTACTGCTGGCCTCTCTCTTCTGCAGGGCTCTCTGCTCAATTCCCAGCTTTGTCTCCTCTCTCTCTCT